ATGTATCCACACAAGCTGAGTACCATCCGAGGAATAGTCATAACACGTTGCGAGACAATATAGGGACAATTTTTTTTAAATAATTTATTTTTGATGATGTTTACATAGTTGAGAAAGATACATGCCCATGTGGAGCACCAGTTAGGGTGGGGAGGGTCAAAGAATGGGGGAAAGTGAATGAGACGGTTGTCTCCTTTTTTCCAACTGTATCTCCTTTTTTCTTTCTGTATCTGGGAAAAGTATGGAGAGAAAGGGAGAAAGCCACTCCCAGCAGTCCAACCGCATCAGTATCTGGGAATGGGGGACAGCCACTCTATGTCATCCCAGGGTCTCTAATGTGGAGCATGTTCTGAGGCTACTGTTCTGAGATGCTGCTGACTTCATGGCTGCAAATCCTTGGATTATTCTTCCACGGTCCATTGGCTGGTGTAGTCCATATTAGAGTCTCCATTTGCCCAGATACTCGCTTCAAAACTTGATTGGGAGAACTATCCAATTTATTCTGCACTCTATGGTACTAGATGGCCTCTGCAGGCCTCAATGAACTCGTTGTTGTGTCCTCCTTGAACATCTGTGTATGCCATCCACTGCACAAGCTTCAACAAGCTTCAAATCATTGGGTGCTGTGGCCCAGCCTAACCCTGCCCACCACACACTCTGCCCTCACAGACACCTGTGGGAACTGCAGCCTAGTTGGAGCGACCCCCAGTAGCACCCCACCAGGTCTGCCCCCAGCCCTGGTTCCTGGGCTTGCTAGCATGTGCAGTAGACTGGTCTGGTCTGGTCTGTCCCACAGCTCATTTGGCTCTCATACACATAATGGATATTGGAGCCTAGCTCAGCTCAACTGACCCCGCTATGCCAGCAGATGCCACTGCCTGTCCACTGCTCTGGGATGTTTGTGCTGTTTCCAAGGGCTTTAACCTCATCCTAGAATAAGCCCCGAATATTGACAGGAATGAAACAACATCCAGAAGGTGTGAAAGAAAATTTAATCTTTTATGTCATAATTAATGGGAATAACTGAAGAGTTGAAGAGGAGGTAAAAAGATAAGAAAACAGGTCTGGTGTGGTAGCCTCCTTGCCTTGTATCCACGAGACTCTCATCTGGGTGCTACTTCGTGTCCTGGCTGTATTTCCCATCCAGCTCCCTGCTTGTGGCCTGGGAAAGCAGTTGAGGACGGCCCAAAGCCTTGGGACCCTGCACCCATATGGGAGACCAGAAGAAGCTCCTGGCTCCTGGCTTAAGATCAGCTCAGCTCCAGTAATTGCAGCCATTTTGGGGGAATGAAATAGGGAATGAAAGATCTCTTCCTGTGTCTCTCCTCTCTGTAAATCTCCCTTTCAAATAAAAATAAATCAATCTTTAAAAAAAAAAAGAGATAAGAAAACAACAGGAAATAAGGACACTGGGTTGAAGAGCTAAGTGGAGGTGGAAGTAAGCACAAATGGTAAGGTGCAGAGTGCGAGAATCTCGCGACTTTGCAAGACTAGCAGAGGAGCCACTATTTATTTCCGACTCTTCAATGGACTCTTGTTTATGAAACTTTCAGCAGACTGAACTTTTCTGGAGGAGCAGAGACAGTTTTATAAAACAGAAAAAAAATCTTAATTCATAGATTATGAATCTGATTTTGAATGAATCATGATGGGATAATCTTGATGCACAGTGACAATCAACTGCTGGGGGAATAGGGAGATGCAGGTCTAAGAACATAAAGTAGCGGATACGTAGGATGGACAAGTTCAGAGACCTGTACATGACTAAGGTTAAGCAAATTATATTACGGATTTGTTAAATAAGTAGATTTCAGCTGCTTGTCACACACACACATTTGAGATGACAATGTTAATGTTTTGTTTAATTTTAGTGTCTATTTTGTATGTATGTAACTCATAACATCATGATGTAAATCCTAAACATGCACAACAAAATTTTTAAAAACTGTACAAAATTGGTACACTTTAGGAGGACATTGTGACCCTAGAAGTTCAGCGAGCACAGCATTACAGTTGATTGGACACTATTTATATGATAAACAACTGAATGGGTGCCTTTTGTGTGACTGATTGGACATCCTTTGCATGAGAACAACCGAATGGCTACCTTTTGTGTACCTGATGGGATACCATTTGTATAAGAACAGTTGAGTGGAAAGTATGTGTATGAGAACACTTGGTGGAATATACAAGACAAAAGGAGTTCCAAACAAAAGCATAGAAACAGTTGATGGGTTTACTGATGAGCTAAATACCTCCACCCTAATCCTATACGACCCTCAGTGTATAGTCTGTTGACCCTAATAAATATCAGCTATTGATCATCAGTCAGTAGCCCATGCGTGTTATTATCGGCTTTGTGTACCAAGTCCATTGCTGCAGGACAGCGATAGTACACAGCAGCTGTTTTTTCTAATCTTTGGTTCTTCACAATATCTTTTAATGAAAAATTTTGATGCGCGAGATTTGAACTCGCTTCCCAAATATTTTCATCAATTTCACCTAGAATATTTTGCTGACAATAGCTCATAGATTGGAGTACTGACTTCCACTTACTAAACTTCCATGGCTCCCGCCCTGCATGCATCTCAAAAGTTCACCCAAAGAGTATAATGAATACATGTAACATTTAGTACACTTCTATCAATTTTTCTGGTCTGGTTTAACTCTACCAAACATTGAATTCCACCACAAAGCAGGGCACTGAAGTTTAGGCTTCAGTACCTTTAACTAAATAAGCCTACAAAATAAATTGGTTCATTCTCTCCTCTTTAACGGATACTGAACCTGGGGCGTTTTGGAAACTGCGTTTGAGTATTATGTTAACCATATGTTGGACTTTAATAAAGTCATCACGCACAGATATAATTTAGGTCCATCAGGATAGTCTTTATATTCATTAGGAATCTTTGTTGGCTGATAACAAAACATGCTCATTCAATTGGAAACCAACTACATTGCCCTGGATGATTTTAAAACCCTGAGAACAGTGATGCTAGTTTTTCCAGGTTGACACTTAAAATCAGATTCACATCTTAAGCCAGAGTGCTAAAGCAGTAGCTGCATCAAGAGTTCAGAAAAATTCCGGTTAATAACCTCTACATTAAGAGATCCAATCACTCATTTTCCAAGTGTCATTATTTCATTTTAGGATGCGAACTACTCAGCAGACATCATAAAGACAGGAATTTCCTCTCCTCCATCATTTCCACTAACTCACTGTATGCATTTGAGGAGAAAATCCTCTCAACCCAACACTATGCCACCAAGTCTTGCTTGGTTTGCCTAATACAGTCCCAGTTGGCAGCTGTTGTCCATCCTGTTTCAACCTCAAGGGAGATCTTGCTTTGAATTATGTATGGTACGGCCAAGCAAATTGTGGGTCACCAGGCTTAAACACACATCTCTCATTCAAGAAGTAATTTGAAAAGAAAGAGTTCTTCTGTCACTTTGAAGCACGTTTTAGCAGTTTCTGTTTCTCTGCAATGGGAGGTGGACAGCATTCATTCTGAAGTTGGAACTATGACTTCATTTAATGACTCTTAGGCAAGTTGTAAGATCTTTCTTGCCTGGAGATTTAGATACAATAGTATTTAGAAGCAATGAGAAGAGTACATGTAATTCATATAAAGTACTTTGCATCAATCATACTTTGCCTAAGTTCTCAATAAATGGTGGATATTTTCAGGCACAATAAAAAATCACGCATTTCCTTGTTTTCTTGAGGTGTCTGAAAAATATAACATAGGATTAAAAAACAAAACCCATCTATTTGTTGCCTCCAGGAGACACATTTCACCAACAAAGATGAGCAGAAACTGATGTTTTTGTTAGTTTCATCTCTTCAAAACACTTTCTTCTGATTAAATTCTTCAATCACTCATAGCTCATACAGAAGCATCATTTTATTCAAGAAGATTCCTGATTTTTCATTTGTTCAGCAACACATTAGTCATTCAGTATCATGTTATTTAACTTCATGGTGTTGTTTTCTTCTTCCTGTTGTTTTGTTTTGTGGCTTTTCATTTAGAAGGATGTAGATGTATAGTAACTGTGTAATGGAGACTATCATATCCAGATGTGAGGATACAATGCAGTGTGCATCTGTACTTCCAAAGATGGACTCACAATGAAACTGTTAACTATATCTTCACAATAGGATGCTGGACTCTGCCATTGTCCATGCCTGCAATGATGGACATATGACTGTGTATGAAGAACTATACTATAGTAATAATATAGGGGAACTCATGAGGGGGGATGGAATTGGGGAGGGGAAAGGGAAATCCCAGGGTCTTCGGAACTGTATCATAAAATGATAATAAAATTATATATACACACACACAAAAAAAAAACCACAACAAAAAATAAAACATGGCTGGACCAAAGATATTTGAAAGATTATGGAAAATGAGCAAGAGCTTCAAAAGTTATTTTGCACCAAAGTAAATTTTTCTTTTAATCCATTTTCCACGAACTTCTGGGCACACACTTGTACAAACAATTGTGGTAAAGCATCCTAGGACAATGCTGTCTGATGTTAACACCAGTGACTTTTTCGCCTTTCATCGAAGATCAACATTATTTTCTACCAGGAGCTCCTGGAAAGACTGATTTTTGACTTCTCCCAAATGTAACACCTTTTCCCAGTTGTGGCAATTAGGTTTTTCTTCAACAAGGAAGCTCTGACTAATGCCAGAACAATCACAATCTTGTGGCAACTCAGAGGACTCTAAGAATCTGCTTCAAAGCCGGTTATCTATTCCAAAAGATTTAAGCCTGTCGATACAAAGCTTCTTCCGGGCCTCACCCATTTGTGGGAACAGGGGTCGAGCACTTGAGCCATCCTCTGCTGCTTTCCCAGGCCATTAGCAGGGGAACTGGTTTGGAGGTGGAACAGCTGGGACACGAACTGGCACCCATATGGGATGCTGGCACAGCAGGTGAAGAATTAGCCCATTGAGCTACTATGCAAGGCCCTAAGCTTTTTTTTTTTTTTCAGTCTGCCTTTAACATGTTGATGTTTTGTACTGAGTATTCGGTCCACTTTGATTTTATTGGCTTTAAGTACCACCTCAATGGAGAGCTAGCTCATTCCTAATAACATGTCCAACTCCACTGTCCAAAGATACTATAGATACCCTGCAAGCAGGCCATTATTTTCCTTTCTGTAATCCTGGTTTAGAAGCTCTCTTACCCATCTGGGAGACATCCAGTGAGTTGTGGGGACTTGATTTTTGTGTTCTAAATCTGTGCCCTAATTGTATCTTCACCACATCCTAAATCACTTTTTCCTTCCTTGAGTTTCTGTGCTTTATAAATACCATGGAAGCAGTGTTAGAGGCAAAATGTGTTAACAGGAAAAAAGACTACTGCAAATCCAATGTTCTTTTGCTTAAAACCCAGAGGATGCTTCAATATTAACTATAGGCTACAGTCTATAAACATGTCTCAAGGCAGCAGCTTTCCCAACTTAGGTTGGTCCTTCCTACCTCTCCAATCTTCAACATCTTAGTCATGCCAAATGACTTGAAGATCTCAAATCATGCCACCTGAGGTGAAGATGTAACCCCGCTGAAATGCAGGCCCCATATTACTCATCCCCCTTGCTACCTCCTTTAGGTATCACATGCTATATATACATATACCTCCAAATCTAGATGCGTGTATGGAAGGTAGAAGACACAGATCACATCTTACTCATGTTTGGTGTAAACATGTCGACTAAAAATTAACAATATTACAGGCAAGGCAGATGAACTGATAGAAATTTAGTTTCTATTTAACTGGTGCCAATGAGAAGAGAATATGAATTAGTTTTGCTTCCTGGATCAACATCTGCTTTTTCAATACTCTGTGTGTCTGGCTTCCTTCTCCAAAACCATGTGTGTAATATGATCTAGGCTTGTTTCATTATTAAAGCACCTGAGTAGAATTTGCTTCTAAGGGTCTAGTTATCTAAACAGTAAAAACAAAAAACTTCTTCTGTGTCTTCTGTGATGTTAAATCGATGGAAACAGTTCACATAACACTTGCTTTATCTAATCCTGCTTCACTGTAATCTTAACGTGTTTGATTTCTATTTCCTAATCTATTCAAAGACTAAGCTCCTTAAGAAATATTACCCTTGATATATAATCCACATATGGATTGTACTAAATTTCTCTTAAATATCTGATTACTTACATTAATCTTAACAAACCACCATAATAAAACCACAGAAAATAATACATTGTGTCAGTAAGGTAAACTAAAACATGTGAAGAAATATTAAGGGATAGCTTTAGTGTTCTTATCATCTCAGCTTCTTCAACATTGGCTCACAATTTATGTAACAAAGTTTGTCTTGAGTCCTATTATTCAATGTCCTCTGGATAAGAGATTTAATAAGAAAGCCACTTAGAAATATTAGTGGTTAAAAATCTTGAGTCATACTTAGACAAGCACTCTTGCTCCAGAGCTAAAGAGATATAAATAAATAGATTTGGAATTCCGTCTTTCTGCAGTGATATGTAAGAGGTGGCTGCTGATTAGTAACTGAATAAACGTCTCTAAGCTTTTATCTGTCAAATTGTTCATAGGATGCATTGCAAGCATTAGAAAGGGCACTTGATGCAATCACTACAGCCTCTCGCCAAGTAAAATTATAAATTCTCTTTAGTTACAAATGTAAATAGCACACGCTTTTTCAATAATGACTCCTGTAAAAAAAAATCACTAAAAGAACAGCATGATGAAACGAGAGTATGCGTCCAGTGCTTCTGAAAATGGAGACACAAATGTTAAGGCACCAACCATGACTATTTAATGACATACTCTTCTGAGCGAGGATCTGTGGAAACCAACAAAGCTTGCTATACTTTACTAGTGACAGGGAATCACCCACCCCACCATGTTATGTAAGCAGGAAAGCATGAGATTTCAAACTTGCCTAACATTAAAAGTAAGTCTCTTAATTTATTTGCATTCTAAAATAGAGCCCTTCATCCTGAAATCACCTTTTCCATATAAAATGCTACTAAGTAATGTACAGGATTTTTCAAGCCCTTTAAACATTCCCTTTAAAATTTGCAGTTCAATCACTATTTGGTTTCTAGTATTATACTACATTTTGGCAGCAATTGTTTATTTGTCTGTCATTGCAGTAATTGCAATTTAACAATAAACCAGTCTGACATTTTAGGTCTTGAAGATACATACCATATATATTTCTTTAAAAATAATCATACTTTCGTAGGCAATACTTTACAGTAGACACCTCAAAAATCTACCATAGATGTGAAACTTAAAATGAGAAAAATTTAAGTTCTAAATCTTTATACACATATATCCAGATTTCTATATATATTATATATACATACATAAGTATATATAAAATATATATAATCAGATTTGAAAAATGAACAAAAACTGGGCACTGTACATAAAGTCTTTTTAAAACTCAAACAATAGAAAACTCTTTAAACATTAAACAATTTTAATAAAAGTTTCTGTACAATGCTAAGCAGTTTTATTTACACATAGAAAATGTAATAGGAGTAGTGTTTGAAATTACAGAACTCCTTAAAATTTCAATGGCAGGTAAATCTGGAAAAAATAACAGCATTCCATTCACAAATATTTTCAAGCAATAAATATGTATTTATAAATAGTGTAAATTTACATCAAGATTAGAAACAAAAATCACAAATCTGAAGTTTATTCCTTAGTCTATGTGCAATCCATTATCTTTGTGACTTGGCTGTTAATTTTTTTAAATGCTTTATTTAGGAACCAAAAGTGTAACCAACATGGTTTCAAAACAAGACAGAAAAAACATAAAAGTAGTAAAAAAGTTTCTTACCTAATTTTTCACATTAAAAAAAAGTTGACCAAAGAAAGACTTAAAATTGCTAACTACCTTACAAAGAAATGACCAGCGAGGCTAGTATTTTTTTTTTCAAGGAAAATTCTGAAAGGGAAAAGATAGATGAAAACAAATCCATTAGCCCAGAAATAGAGAAATATAAAAGAGGTTTTCTTCAAGTCAGTAGTCTGTATGATGTTGCCAGTTTTGTCAGATATATACAAAACATGGAAATTATTATTCTTGTTTTCGGAAGTTCCGCTGATGCGCTTTGCGAGAGTCCCGGGGTAAGAGCAGGCTACTCTCCTCCGTCCAGCTGCTTGACACTCCGCACTGGGAAGGTTGCATAGACACAGTTCACAGCCAGCAGCCTTACGAGATAGCTACAAAAAGCAGTGGTGCAGAACTGGGTTACTTCCTGAATAGCAGAAAAGGTCTCATTTAATGTCCATGGAATAATATCAAGATGAGGCGGATGGTAATGGAGGAGCCTGAAAATAAAAGTAAGTTCGGTTATTTTGGTGTAACAAGTCATTAGCCGCGTTCTCTATGTCATGGCTTGACTGTAGATTTGTAGTACAGTCTACTTACAAAGTTAAGGGAAATAATTCTCTAGAAAGTTCCACAGCTTGCAACGCCATCCTGAAGTACAACGTACTGTACTAACTGCTGCCTCCCCGCTGCTCGATTCTACAAGTCCGCGATCACTACCCCTCACTGTGCTTCTAGCTTTGTGCATTTCCTCAATTAGTCAAAAACTGGGAAACTTTTTAATTTACTGTTTAAAAAAATCCTCTTAGAAAAATAATGCATCAATTATACCTTCGCTAATAAATGCTTCTAGAACTCATCTTGGCTGGATAATTTATTTTATTCAACATACTTCAGGTAATTTTCTTCTTTGAGAAATTTTGTTCAAGTGAAAATATTAGAAACCAGCTTTCAAAAAGGTAATTTTCTTGTCTGATAAAAATATTGTGAGAGACAAAGATTGGAATAAGTCAGACTCACAAATCATCTATTTTATTCATAAAATTATTGATCTGCTAGGGTAAAGTACTTAAAACACCTGATACTTGAAATTATAAAAACTGTGGGCCATTTTAAGTACACGTGAATTTTGTCAGGTCATACAACAGACCAGGAACTTCATCAAACATCCTCATGAAGTCAATATTTCTCACAAAACAAAATTTTAAATATAATTAGGTTTAAAAGCAGACAGTGACTCATCATACGGGCATCAATAGTCCAGGTACACAAATATCAACTTTGCCCAAATGACATAAAAGAGGTGATAGTGTTCCACACACAGGAAGATTTTCAAATGCCATTTCTGTAATTACACTAAGCTGGTCTCACACACAGGAAAAAAGGGAAAGTGATACTGCCACTTTCACAGAAATAAATACTTGCAAGTAGAGGAGAGGCGAAAGGGAGGAATACGCCCTCACCCCAGTATCTAAGCCAAAGGAAAATTTAAATCTTTCATTACCTCCTACTTATCAGGCGGCAGAGCAAACACTGCTGCTTCACGACCCAGCTAACTATGTACTCACATGGTGATTTCACTTACTAATGTAAACTGGTCATAGACTTGCATCAGGTCCTCCATTTTGTACTGTTCTAGCACCACAAAATTTTCCAGGTTTCCACTTGTTTTTCTTGCACAGTCTTGGCAATGTACTATGTAGGTCTTTCGAGAATTACTCTCATTAGTGACAAAAAGCAGATCAAAAACTTCCACCTGTTTTATACAAGAAAACACTGCATTCAACACAGATAGTGACATTTTTTATACTGTTTTTGTATACTCATGGAATTCAACTTCAATGGATTTATGAAGAACCTTCTCTGTTAAGAATAGGTACTAACGGGTCTGGCACAGTAGCCTAGTGGCTCAAGTCCTTCCCTTGCCACGTGCCAGATTCCATATGGGTAACCCTGATGGCTGTATTTTCCATCCAGCTCCCTGCTTGTGGCCTGGGAAAGCAGTAAAGGATGGCCCAAAGCCTTGGGGCCCTGAATCCGTGTAGGAGACCCGGAAGAAGCTCCTGTATCCTCCTGGCTTGGGATCAGCTCAGCTCTGGCCATTGTGGCCACTTGGAGAGAGAATCAATGGATGAAAGATCTTCCTCTCTGTCTCTTCTCTCTGTATATTTGACTTTCCAATAAAATAAATAAATCTTTAAAAAAAAAAAGGGTACTAAAACTCCCAATTAAAATTTAAACATAAAGTAGAATACTCAATTTTCTACTTTTGTCCATAACCAAAATGCCATGAAACACTTATATATCTGAAAGTTAAACTTGTAGCTTGTACTAAGGAACTACATTACAGTGATAATCCATGGGGCAGGGGAGAGCGGGGGGTTGGGCTCAATGGGGAAGAAAATGGGGAGGGAAGAAGAGGAGAAGGGATAAACCCCTATACGTACAAAACTGTGTCATGGAAAACAATTCAAAAAATAAATAAAAAATAGGTACTAAGAAAACACGACTGTGTCTGAGAATTTTTCTTGAAGGTTTACTTTTATTTTTTATTTAAAATATGGAAAGGAGAGACATAGAAAGATTTTCTATCCACTGGCTTACTTCCCAAACGGCCACAACAGCAGGAGCTGGGCTAAGTCCGAAGCCAGAAGCTCCTTCTGGGTCTCCGAGGTGGGTGCAGGAGCTCAGGCACTTAGGCCATCCTCTGCTGCTTTCCCAGGACATAAGCGGAGCAGATGCGACATGAACAGGGACCCACATGGCCTGCCAGCACCACAGGCAGAGAATTAGGTTACTATGCCACAGAAACAGCCCTACTGCCTGAGAATCTCCAATAGACCAGGCTTACTTTGCACCAAAACTCATATATGGGTGGTAATAATATTTAGAGTGACGTAAAGGAGCAATCTATTTATTCAAACAACTACTGGCAAAGCCTAATTCCAAAGTTTGATAAAGGTTAGCTTCCTGCTTGAAATCCAAACAATGGTATACAACCGGATGCCAGCGGTCATTGGTTTCCTTTTAAATCTCCATGACAATACCCATCCCTGGGTACTGTACATGAATGCTTATAATTCCCACAGATGTAGCTCCTTGGGAGTGAAGATCGGCTTCACTCATCTTTAAATTTCCAGAAAACACCATAGTGCCTAAAGCTTAGACAAATCTCAAGACACTTGTTGAGGATTATCAGATTATACCAGATGACGAAACAGGTGACAGTAGGTGCAGTGCTTGGTAATAAGCCTCATGATAAGGAGTCCAAACAAAAAGTACCTTCTTGAGCACAATGTCATTTCTGAGATAATACCTCTACCTTATACAGAAAGATGAGGGAGTTGCTAGGGTTCAAGGAGGGTAAGAAACAATATGGTGGGCTAGAAGTTAGTCTCAAACACCAGAAAGCTTAGACTCCTTTTCTTCTAAGATAACACAACTAAGTAAAATCTACCCAGTAAGGCCAACTTCACAACCATCATCATTTCATGTACATACAATTGGTTCCCAATATTTTTTTCCCATTACAGAATTTAAGCTCCATGCATCACATTTTTCTTTTTGTGCCTTCAACACAGAACAAAATCGATAAACATATTGTGAATTGTACCAGAGAGGGCTGAACCATGACCTGCACAGAATGCACACGAACATTCATCTGCATATGCTGCACTGCAGTGGAGTATACTGGCATCTGTGTATTTACACTAGATGATTCCTAGTTTATAAGCTCAGACCTAACTTCTTCCTGGAAATTTGTTCAAGATGCATCAGACCAATGGTTCTGGGATGTGTACTTTTAAGGTTAATTCACAATCAATGAACAGATAGTTTCAGTAAAATACATGACATCAACTAAAGAGACACCCCAAGTGAAGAGGTAAGGGTTTTATGAAACAACTGTGGGTATGAATAATCACTTACTTCACAAATGCTGCAGTAATGAGCTGGTTCTTCTTTCGTGCGCCCGTGCCATATAATCTCTTTTCCCGCAGCTAGGAGAGCTTCCCTCAACATCTGACACTGTTTCAGAGTTCTCAGAAGACAGTATCTATTGTGGGGGATAAATTATTTGTGACCAGCAACTGAATATTGGTTATTTTTAGCAGAAAAGAAATAACAATTAGAAATAACGCCAAGAGATTTGATTCTAATGTCTATTACTTCATAACTTTCTTTTATCAATTTCTCAGATAAAATAAAAAAGAGGCAATACCCAGCAGATGTGACAATAGTAAAACATTTAAAGTTGAGAGTAACTGATACCTGAATAACAAAATGTAACAATCTTAATAAATAAAAACTGTTCACTGCTTGAACATGAGTTGCTAAATGTGGCTCTTATTTGGGCAAGTCAGTTAACCTCTCTGTGAGAGTCAATTTCCTTGAAATTAGGGATCTGAATTCCAAATACAAACTACTATGACTTTAGCAAATTAGGAAGATGACATTATTTCTATTAACATTACCTAGACATTCATCAACAGCATCATCTGCATAGTTCCTTTTTAAACTCTTGAGTCTCTAAATAGAAAACCATTTACAGAGATAGTCACCACAGCATACAAAATTGGTTTAATTACAGTGCTAAAGAAAAATAAAAGCCATTTTTAATTTCAGATAATATAGAATAGATCTTTATGAACACAACTGAACCTTTCATATCATTTATATCCTTTGTAAACTTAGAGCTATGATGCTAAGAACATAAAATCACACAACTTCTGCTGATCATCCTAGAGCTTTCTGTTATTTGGTATTGTCTGCTGAACTCACTCTGTTGGGATCTTAGTGGTTCAGGCTCTTTGTCTGAATAGAGATTGGACTAGATGATGATCTAAGACTTGTTTCAGCTCTAAAATTTGAACGCAGTGAAAATTCCCGTAAGGCAAGGAAACGTGCTTAGCAACCTTAAAGCAGTGTTTCTATTTTATTCATATTATCTACTTTATGCCTACAACAGTGTCTCGCATCCAGTAAGTGTTTAAAAACTAAGCATTTGTCTACTATATGGCTAAAATTCCAGGTAACAAAATATTTAATTTATCTGAAATTCCCTTGCCACTACAAGTAGCCTGGTTAACCCAGGGGTGGTTAGAATTTGTTATTTAACTCACATAAAATATGTCCTAAATATTATATTTATTCAAAGGATTTCATTCTCAGTTTGGCTTGTTAATTCTTGCCTGTTTAACTTACTTAGAAACAAAAAGAATGCTTCAGACTGTGCCTGCACATGAACCTAGGAGAGGTGCCTATATGTATGCATGTGTGCAGGCTGTTGTGGAAATATCGAGTAAATATTCACATCATGGCAAGAGATAGACAAAAGATAAAAAATTCGGACTATGCGTTTAACTCTCAAACAGCACTTGGTTTCCTTCCACTCCAGGTTTCTCAATCAATACATCACTGAAGGCATGGAACTTACTGAACAAGTTTTCCAAGCAGGGCTTCAAAATTAAGTCTCTTTTACTGCAAAATAATGGCCCAAACTCTGCAGATACCCTGGCAAGATTTTCAAACTCAACTGTGTTCCCATGTGGGCAAACAAAAATAATGAAATTAAAAATAAATAATGCAAAACAAGTGTTGGGCAGAAGTGATTTGATAATTCACACGCAATCTGTCAATTAGACCCTGGTAGGGCATTAATCCCTATATTACAAAAGCGGAAACAGGGACTCCAAAACTAAACTCATGTTGCAAGGTTATTTAACTGGTCCAGCTCGAGGTCAGCCAGGGGTTTTAAAAAGCAAAACATTCAACGCTTTCCCTCCCACCACCACACTCTTTCTTTTGAACTCTTCTGAGGTCTAATTCTTACCATTCCTTTTCTTCTCTTGTGAACATTAGATTCTCGGGCTTAGTCAAGTCTTTTTTTTTTTTTTTTTAATTTAGAGCATTAGTTTCAGATACTCAATAAATGAATCTTCATCTACAATACTACTGACTACTTTGACAGACCGTAGTTTATAACTTATGCTTAGTCTGACAATTTCATCTAGAAAAAGGCAGTATACGACTTTCCTGGAAATAACAGGAACGGAATTAAGGTTACTAAGAGCAAGTCATGAGTGCTATGTCTCTAGAATCACAGTTGCAGAACTTTTATTTTTTGTGATACTGAAAACTTAGAAAACTAACAGCTCCACTAATCTCATCTAACAATGAATATCAAAAGTGTGCCTTTACTTTATCCTTCTACTTTTAACACTAAATTTTTCTGCTCTTTCTCATGTTCACAAAAAGAGCAAAAAAGAGAATTTAGAGAGACAGAGGCGCTTAGGAAGTCCACAGCAATGAGGAGGCCTTAAAGAAAGGATATGACTTAATCAAAGGATAGGAAAAAATACAAAGAAAAAGATTTCAGCAAAGGATCCTGGGGATGATAGATATAAGATTCAATTTAGTAATCTGCTCCACTTTGATTAACCCTCATCTTTGATTTTACATAGATAATATCTGAATGTACTGAAGCATTAAAAAGTTAAAGTCAAACAAAAGTAGGGCTCTCATTTGTTCTTCATTCTTGTTTTGGTGTATTTTAATACTTTACCTTATACCAATTAGAATGCAATTTGTTAAGAAGAAATTATTTTTAAAAAAACATGGAAAATGCTATCTTTCACAGATACATTTTAGGAACAGGGTTAGTAATGATTTCTGCAGCCACAAGAGCAAATTTGCCTTCTAAGGTTCAATATGGCTTTAGGATCTAACTCTTTTTTTGTTGGATGAAAGACTACCATAAAAAAGCAAGGGATTAAAGATGGCTTCAGCCTGGGCAAAAACTGAGGAAGAAACTAACTGAAATACCTGGCAGATTGGATATTATACAGTACCATCTCATCCAACTAAAACTGATCAGCAAAGATAAAACCTAAAAGAGAGGGAACTTGGAGAATGAGCTCACATAGGGCTTAGTAGGAAAATGCACAATAAAGAAGCAATGCATTAGGCGAAACATAAACAGACCTAGTATGCTACAGATACCTAAAGGAGAGATCATTTTCAGGTGAGAGGAGAAAGTCACAGAAGTTTTCATACAAAAATTGAAATTTTAAAATTTAAATACATTAATTTACATATGAGAAGGAAGGTGCAGGGTTGTGTATGTGTGCAGTGGCAAAAATGACCTGTGCAGAAAGAATGGCATGAAATTGGCAGTATGGGTTTACTTAGTAAACACGCTATTATCATCAGATTTAACCTTTCTGGACAGGATAATAGGATAAGGTGATGATGATATTGCATTATGTCAAAGTTAAGACACCACTTTTACATTCTGGGAGCATACTGACTAAATTCCCAAGTATTCTGAAACATGGGTTAATATGACATAATATCTTAATAACAGTAGTCATTAAAAAGTAGATGACAAATTAAACATTCATGGGCTGGTGTTATAGTTCAGTTAAACCACTGCTTTCTCTCTCTCTCTCTCTCTCTCCCCTTTTTAAGATTTACTATTAAAGAAAGGCAGATACACAGAGAAAAGGAGATACAGAGAGAGAGAAAGATCTTCCATCTGATGATTCACATCCAGGTAGCTGTAATAGCAGGAGCTGAACTGATCCAAAGCCAGGAGCCATGAGCTTGCTCCATGAATCTCCCATGCGGGTGCAGGGTCCCAAGGCTTTGGGCCATCCTCAAACTCTTTCCCAGGGTACAAGCAGGGAGCTGGATGGGAAGTGGGGCAACCAGGACACAAACCAGTGTCCAAAGGAGATCCTGGCACATGCAAAGCGAGGACTTTAGCCACTAGACTGCCACAGCAGTCCCACCACTGCTTTCTTTGATAGTGGCATTTCATGTTTTAGCTCTGGTTCCAATCCTGGCTACTCCACTTCCGATCCAGCTTTCTGTCAATATGCATGGAAAGGCAATGCATAATGATGGTCCAGTTACTTGGGCCTTTACCAGCCATGTGGGACTCTGATGCTATTTCTGCTTCTTGTCTTTTACCTGGTTTAGCATTGGCTGCTGCAGTCACTTGAGGAACCTGTAGATGGAAGCGCTTTCACAGAGTGGCTTGTTTGCTCTTTTACTCTGCCTTTCAGATAAATAAATCAAGGTGGGGGGGGGGGGGCAAAGGGGAAAAAAAAGAGAGAGAAAAGAGAAGACCCAACCAGACCTGACCAAGAGGGCCATGCATACCTAGTTTTATCTTACTCAAAGGCCCATGAAGGAGGAGGGAGCCAACACAGGAGCCCTTAAAGAACTCTGTGTCATTTCAGGGTCATACTCTTAGGAAAACAGTGAATCATGTCAACAAGGCATCTAACAGTTTCATTTAAACCAATCACATGGCTGAAAATCAAGGTCTCAGTCAATGACTAATGGGTATCTAAGAATTTTCAAGTCCTGGATGGGAAAAAAAATTATGAAAGCAAGTAAGTATCAAGCACAAGAATGCAGAGTTTGTATAACATTTAGAGTTTAGCTGATATAATCAGGAAGCATTATAGATGAAACCCTACAGCACTAGGATCTGTGTATGCTACTACAGCCTTGTCTTTGTGGTGTCCCCTGTCTGTTCAGTTATTGGGCCAGTTGAGGGAGGAGAGCAGGAAGCAGGGTGAGTGGAGGCAAAACTGCACACTTGAGAACCACTCACTAGGCCCATGAATATTAACTTTCGAAAATAAATTTTATTTTTAAAAAAGGTGACCAGGGTCTCTACAATTAACAAAGTATAATCACAACTGCCATTTACTAGTGCTAACCCTATGTTAGCTAAGGCCTATATAATACTCAAAAAAGTTACATTAGAAACACACATTAGCCCCACTGTACAGAAAAGGAAATGATGAAAGGCAGACTAGACTCTAGACAATACAGTACTGTTCTTTCTGTGATATTTTACTGGGTTTAAAATAACAGACTCCAAGACTTAGAAAATAAAAAAGGAAAGGCAAATGATGAATACTTAAGAGACTATCCACGCATAAAAGGCATAGAGCAAGCACATTAAGACCAACATATTCATAAGACAGCACATTTAAAAACATAACAAAATGATACACCAAGAATTTCAGCTTCAAGAAG